AAAAAAGTATGGACTAGAACAGAATGGCAGAGGCAGACAGGCCAGGCTCTCATAGTAGAATCTAACCATCTTGCCTCAGTTGACTGAACCCTTCCAGAGATTTTTGGATCCTCAGGACAAACTCTAAGCTCCTCAGCCTGGTTTCCAAGTGCTTAGCAATCTAACTCTTTCTCACTTCTCTAGTTTCAACCCCTGCCACTCTTGGCCCCTACTTTCTACTCTAACAACATAAAATTGTTCATAATTTCATTCCATGCCTGTATTCTTTAAATTCTATCTTTTGAGAATGCTCTGCTTACCTCACACCCCTTTGCCTGGCCAACTTCTACTTATCTTTCATTCCTTATCATTTCTAGGAAGATTCCCAGACCTCCTCAAGCTCAGATGGAGGCTCCTCCTCTGTGCTCCCACAGCCCTTGGGATTACCCTTATCATAGATTATGCTATTTATTTCAATTTTAAAAATTACTTATTGGGGGCCGGCCCGTGGCTCACTCGGTAGAGTGCGGTGCTGATAACACCAAGGCCATGGGTTCGGATCCCATATAGGGATGGCCAGTTTGCTCACTGGGTGAGGGTGGTGCTGACAACACCAAGTCAAGGGTTAAGATCCCCTTACCGGTCATCTTTTAAAAAAAAAAAAGAAGTACTTATTGGGCACCTATTATTCACCAGTCACTGTTCTCGGCTCTGGGAGTTTATCAGTGAATAAAACAGACAAAAATCCCTGACCTGGAGGAACCTACATTCTAGTGCTACCTCTCCCCTTGGCTTGTGAACTTGAAGGGAGGCAGGCTCCACCTACAAAATGTTGCTGTCCCTTAGTGCCTCAGCCCTTGGAGCCTAGTTGTAAGTGGAAGGTGTAGATGATTCTGATACAGCCTGCCAGTAATCAGGACCTCAGAACAGCCACAGTCCTGCAGAATCCATTTAATAAGAGCTGAAATTGGGCTAACAAGGAAAGGCATGGCTGGGAAGGCAGAAAGTCCAAGGAGTACTGGGATAGACAGGAGAGAGAGAGAAGAGGGAGTGTCCTCCATGTCTTCCCTCCTGAATCACCCCCTTGCTCTCTTCCCAGGGCCACAGCAGCAGTTTAACTCCCCACCTCACCTTCACTCTAATAATAACGGATGTTTACACACAAAAAGCTGTTCCACATTCTAGGCTTGGTCTTTCATGCCTCAAAGGCAGAGCTAAGCACTCCCTGTACATATACACCTCTCGCCCCTGGCAGTGGTATAGTGTGGAGTGGGTCCCACTCTTGGTTGGGTATCAGACTGGCCCACTGAATGGGGTGTGCCCGAGAAGCTGTTTCCACAAGCTCTTCAGACTATTCTGATGCAGCCAGTTAGGAACCAGGGATTCAGAGCAACCAGCTTCCTTCAAAGCCTCCCATGATCTGTCCCCAACCCACCACAATTCCCTCTCTGCCCTCATCTTCTGCCACAAGCATTTTCCCCTTCCCTCACTTCCTTCGGGTGTCTACTCAAATCTCATCTTGTTGGTGAATCCTTCCCAGAGCACACTTTTCAATACAGCAAACCCTCTGTCTATGCCCCCTGCTCCCCATGATGGAAAGCACTTATTTCAATCTGACATAACAGTGGTGTACTGGAGCTGACTCATAAGGACTCACAAAAGTCTATCTTTACATTTTAAGAACTCTGTAGGCTGATTGTTAAGCATAGTTATCATTAAAAATTAAATTATATAAACTTATAATTAAATAATTTTAAAAATAAAGGTAAAAAATGCTCAAATTCATCACTTTCTAATTTTTTCCTACCTTTCACTATTATCTACGTTCTTGAGATTCTTTACATTTGTTTATCAGTATAACACAAATATATAATATATAATGGCATGCAGCTGTGTGTTTTTGCCCAACTTCATGTTTGATGACATCAGTTGGTAGCTTGAAATGGGCTCTGGGTTTTAATTTATTGTTTTGTTAACTGTCTAGACCTGCAGTTGGCCATGGACCAATTTAGCTCACCAACTATTTTTGTAAATGAAGTTTTACTGCAGCACAGCCATGACCATTCATTTACATCTGATCTCTGGTTGCTTTCACTCTATGCCAGGAGAGTTCAGTAGTTACAACTATATGGCCTGGAAAGCCTAACATATTTACTATCTGGCCCTTTACAGAAGAAATTTGCTGACCCCTGGACTAGCTTTAAGAAAGCAGTAGAGAAAATGTTAATAATGCAGATTAAATGTAAACAGGTGTCATGTCTATAGCTGTTACATTGTAAATAGTAAAAAAAAAAAAAAAAAAAAAAAGGAAAAAGAAAA